GGGATTAGAGAAGCGCATATGGCTGCGTTTGCATAATAATGGCTGTCGTGTTGTGAGAAAGCGCCGTGCAAATTAAACGTGGCATATCGCTACCAATCAGGCAGTTATGGCGGTCTGCGTCGGCGCCATAGACTCAACACAGAAGTATGAATCAAGCTGATGAGTGCTGCGTTTTCAAGCTGTAAGGCAGGGGTGTCCAGTCCTGGTCCTGGAGGGCCACAGTCCTGCATGTTTTAGATGTTTCCCTTCTTCCAACACACCTGATTCACATGATCAGGATCATTATCAGGCTTCTGCAGAGCTTGATGATGAGCTGATCATTTGAATCAGGTGTGTTGGAAGAAGGGAAACATCTAAAACATGCTGGATTGGGGCTCTCCAGGACCAGGATTAGCCACCCCTGCTGAAAGGGATTGATCATGCCAATGCTTTGCAGCACTATATACATAAGATTTGGGTTTATTTACCTCGAACAAAGGACTTCGACATGAAGCATCCCGATTTTCTGCACTTTTGAGTCGTTCTGGAGTTCGAGTGGTCGTAACATCTTGATTTGAACCCCACTTACAGGTCGGCCATCTTGTTACCTCCACAGCAACACTGTCCTCGTCATTTGAATATTTCACAGCCGTCCTCAAAGTGTTCTTCAGTCCTGCCTCTCCAGCGTCGCCCCACTCAGTTTTATTCGCTGCTTTTAGGATCAAAGTGTTTCTCACAGACGTGAGCCAGATATCCTCACAAAGTCCCGTCGTATTCTGTGAGCTCTTTGTTTTATTTTTTATCTCCTGTTACTTGTATTTTAGAACAAGCAGAACCTCCCGTTACTGAATCTGCTGTAGCTCGGCATGTCCATCCTGCCTGAAGTGCCTGTCTTCGTTTTGTTCTATCGTCTGCTGCTCTGGATTCGTTTCTGCTTCATCACTAAAAATCACCAGTTTTTAAAAAAAGAGAGAAAAGAAAAGAAAAGCGCCTCCAGATGTGTGATCAGGTCGTTCATTCAGGGAAGGTTTGTGAAACACCGCTACGCTTGTTCATGTGCGGGCGTCTGACATCCACCGTTTTAATTCACTTTCATTTTGTTTGTTGGTTTTGTAAATTTGTTATATTGGTTTTGTCACCTGCTTCTGTTTTAACTGCAAATAAAGTTCAATAAACACACCGACAGCGTCTCGTCAGTCTCTACAAGCTAAAGACAGAACTGGGTAGAAAGGAGGGGGCAGCTCTCCTACCACCAGCCCCGCAGCTCACTAACTAACCTGCTATCTCGCATGTCTGACTGTAACAACAACAGCTCTGCTGCCGAGGGAACACGACTGTTTAGTGGCTCTGAGCTGTTGCCAGGCAACCAGCAGAGGCTCCAGGAAGTTCCCGGCCAAGAAATAGTCCAGAACACTTCCCTCTGATCAACAGGGCGATAGCAAACCAGCATTTCTGGGCTGCTTGTGCGTGTGTTAAACAGACATAGCGTGGTAATTAGTGAGGCAGACTTAACGCTGAGCTAACGAGCTGCTGGGCGGAGCTTCAGATCGACCAAATACGAGGTAAATGTGAGCCGTGTTCAGTCATCTCATCGAATGGATTTAGAGAAAGATGATTGGACTTTACAGATTTAGTTTGATTTAAAGTATTACAATTGGTCCAGCACACCAACATGACATTAAAACTGTTAAAAGAAATGAGATAAAAGCAGCAGAGCAGTGGCATCGACACCTACAGAGGCCTGAGTCCTCCCACCGACTTGTAGGCATCACGGTTTGTAGCCCAAGATCACATCAGTCAGCTCATCGTTCTGTTGACATTCCATTTAAATATTTGAACTTCTCCCCCCTCAAACACAGATTCAAACTGAAAGTGGAACTCAGACCCAGAGATAACGGAGATAAAGGAGGTTTGGCACTCAGACGGGACTCGTTCCAGGTTCAGGCCAATTCAAACAGACACCAACCACTTGGTTTAAAGAAGTCTGAATCACTCAGAGCACAATTACGTACGTTTGTTCTTCCTCTGGACCGGCGCTTCTCAAACTTCTTGAGCCACGACCCCCAAGACAACATAAGTTTGTGTTCGCGACCCCCCACCAATGACAATTCTTCATACATCACGAGTAATAACTTTGTTGTTCAGGCATTAATGCGTTAAAATGCTACATCCTGACACGTTTTGACGACATTCTGAATCATGACCTTTTTT